ACACATGTACACACATAATATCACATCGTTTTTGTATTCAATATTATAGCTATCGGAACATTATTCAGACATATAAACATGTTAGACCCACGTATCACCACACACGCATTAAAAAAAACAATATAAATACCTCCATGGCATAGTTTCTCACAGATACATTTACAAAAGCTCACGCTTGTCTAAAAGCGTGAATGTGTGTTTGAAGATGTATATACACGTGCGTTGCTACAAATGAACTAACGTATAGACTTTTATAAGGAAGCGCTTTTTAAAATGTAGATCGCTTCAAAATGACCCAATTATTTAGCAAAATAAAGACTACATACTTACACATCTTTCTTCATAGTTTCCTTAACTGCATTCCCACACAAACAAATAAGTACACACAAAATGCAGATATGTACCACATAATAGATATAGGTTTTCTTTCCTCCTAAACGGATAATTCACCCATATCTACTTTAAAAAAAACTATTAGTGTATCTTTTTACTTCTTCATTTTTTCAATTACTTACATGCGTACAGACATCCTTGTTCAGGTGCTAATGTACCCTGATACACTACGTCACAATTTTCTCTCATTCATTTGCCGCAAACACACATGCTGCTTGCTTTACTTTCATCTGCATTTATTTTTTTTTTTTTGCGTCTTTTCGTTTTTGTTCGCTTTTCTTTTCCATTCAACTCTTACTTTCCCATCTGACTTTTGTTTTTACCTTCCCGTTAGTCATATTTTTTTCTCCTTTTTCTTCATTTTGCATTTTTCTTCATGCATTGCATCTGCTTTCGTTCTCATTTCTTTCTTTCGATTTGTTTTCTCTTCGCTTTTTCTATTTTTGCACTTTCGTTGTTCTTTGTCCTTGGAAAATTGAAATTAATGCTTTCACTGAAAGCTTTCATATAATATCTGGTAATATAACTAAACGTGAATCACTTTCAAATTGGTTCTTTTAAAAAAAGATTATAAGATTATACATAAATATTGTAAATAGGAACGTTACAAAGTGTTATTTAAACAATTATTACCTACCGTACAATTTTCGAAACGACAGGCGTTAATGACTTATATATAGCATCCTATAAATATTAAAGGATATCTATGAATCTATAATTGATACCAAAAATATTATAAAACTATAATTGATAACGTATGTATATTATTTATATCCTGTGATGAATTCCGTTTTATTATCTCTTAATCTTTATAAATATTGCCAGATGTAGCGAAAGAATTGGATAACATTAGAAATGTTCTACCGTAACATAACAAAAAAAATCGCAGTGAATTTTTTCCTCATTTAATTACATATTATGCGTATCCAGTTAATACGTAAGAAAATAAACGGAAGCCCCCACGCACAAACACACAAGGAAACATGCTTAAAGATTGACAATCATACACACAAGCAAACACAGAAACACATACGCACAAAGACCAGCACACAAACACAACACACACACACACACACACACACACACATATATATATATATATATATATGTATATATATATATATATATACATGATTGCTTTTTATATATGTTTTAAAAATCTATGATGATCTATATATAAGTGTGTGTGTGTTTATATATATATATATATATATATATATATATATATATATATATATATATATATATATATATATATACACATATATATATATCTTGTGTGTGTATTAATATATATATGTTTGTATGTATGTATATATATATATATATATGTGTGTGTATATATATATATATATATATATATATATATATATATATATATATATATACATGATATATATGTTTTGTGTAAATCTATGATGATCTATATATGTGTGTGTGTTTGTGTATATATATATATATACACATATATATATATATATATATATATATATATATATATATATATATATGTGTGTGTATTAATATATATGTTTGTATGTATATATATATATATATATGTGTGTGTGTGTATATATATATATATATATATATATATATATATATATATATATATATATATATATATATGTGTGTGTCTGTGCGCGTGTGTGTGATTGATTGTGTGTGTGTGAGTGAATTTGTGTTTGTGATTGTGTCTTTACGCGCTCATGCGTGTTTATTTGAAAGAGAGAGAAAGAATCCATCATAGATTTATTGTAAGCTTAACCTAACCTGATACAAGGTCGACTGTGCCGCATGTAGGTCGATTGTATAGAAACAAAGTTTCAAGAGGAAAGTATATCCTTTCCTTGAAATATCAACGTTAAAATTATCTTACACCCCCTCAAACTCTGAGCAATGATGCCGTTTTGAAATATTGAGTAAGCAGGTCGATCAATACAGATAAATATAGAAAAAGATACAGGCATAGACACATTTTTATCAATAGTTAAAAATATCTATCTATCTATCTATCAGGTAGAGGGAGAAAACGATCAGACAGACAGACAGATAGATAGATAGATAGATAGATAGATAGATAGATAGATAGATGGGATTATTAATCAGCCCATAGCCGAGTGAAGTTTTCAGCTGAAATTTAATCTTAAACTTTCGGTTACGCATTACAATGGCAATAAAGTTTAATTTATGTGTTTATTTTAGAAAGA